TGTTTTGCCATTAAAAAAAACCCATGGAAATGCTAAAAAACATGGAATACGATTAAAGAAATAATCATATACATATATATATATATATATATATATATATATATATATATATATATATATATATATTATATATATATTATATATATATATATGTATATATATATATATATATATATATATATATATATATATATACATATATATATATATAATATATATATATATATATATATATATATATATATATATAATATATATATATATATATATATATTTATATATATATATATATATATATATATATATATATATATATATATATATATATATATATATATATGTATATATATATGTTTGTATATATATATATATATATATATATATATATATATATATATATATATATATATATATATATATATATATATATATATATACAATTAAAGACATAATCGATATATATATATATATATATATATATATATATATATATGTATGTATATATTTATGTTTGTATATATATATATATATATATATATATATATATATATATATATATATATATATATATATATATATATATATATATATTATATATATATATATATATATATATATATACAATTAAAGACATAATCGATAATAATAACTGTACAAAATGCAATCTGCCGAAAAAAATCTTGATTGATGGTAAGTTAGTCAGTGATAAGATAAAAATAGCTGAATGTCTAAATAGCTTTTTTCTTAATGTAGGTCACAAATTAGCAGCAGAAATTCTGTCAAGTTCTGCAATATTTCATTCTTTCTTGCTTAAGAACCTTACTTCAGAAAAGATAATGAAAGAAACAAATCTAGATTCTAATGAATTGTGATCTGCTTTAAACACTCTAAAAAACAACAAAAGTGTGGGCTTTGATAATATCAGTAGCTTTGTTGTAAAATCAGTATTTGATATCATGAACCATCATTGCATCACATCTTTGATCTTTCACTGACATCAGGCATCTTCCCAGATAAACTAAAAATTGCCCGAGTCACCTCTATTTTTAAATCTGGAGATGATTTTGATACTAGTAATTATAGACCTTTATCAGTTTAATAATGTTTTTCCAAATTGCTAGAATAGGTCATATATAATCGACTTTACAATTATTTGACGGAAAACAATTTTTTATACGGTAGACAATTTGGATTTAAAAAATACCACCCAACTGACTATGCTATAAATGAGCTAGTTATTCAAATATCTAATGCTTTTAGTAAAATTGCTTTATGTTAAGATTTTTTTTTTTTTTTTGCTTGATCTTTCTAAAGTATTTGACACTGTAAATCACGACATTCTTCTAAAAAAACTCTAAGTGTATAGAGTAAAAAATAATAACTTACTTTGGTTTAAAAATTATTTATTAAACAGAAAGCAATATATTCAGTATGAAACAACAAAAACAACAAATAGCGCCATAACTTGCAGGGTTCCTCAAGGCTAGATCTTGGGACCATTATTATTTTTACTTTATATAAATGATTCATATTTAAAATCAAACTTATTAAATTTAATCTTGTTTGCAGATGACTCCATTTTGTTTTATTTACATAGAGACATTAAGACACTTTTTAACACAGTTAACAAAGAATTACATAAAATAAACGAGCGATTCAGGTGTAACAAACTCTTTTTGAATGTCAAAAAGACCAAATCATCCTATTTTATACACCAACACCAACAACTTTCATAAACTTTCTAGGTGTGGTTTTGGAGGAAAATTTGTTGTGGAAGCTCCATATAAACACTTTAGAGAGAAAGCTCTCAAGAAATATTTCATTAATGTATAAAGCATAACCTTTCCTAAATATCATTTCCTTAAAAAGTTTATACTTTTCATTAATACATAGTCTCCTAAGCTATGGTAACATGGCATAAGCAAGCACAAATTATACTTAGCTTAAAAAACTTTACAGTAAACAATAACATGCCTGTAGAATTGTCTTTGGAGTAATTAAAAAAGTGTCATGTGAACATCTTTTATGCAAACTTGGAGCGTGGAATATATACAAAATTAACATACATCTTGTTTTACAGTTTATGTACAAAATAAAATATAGACTCTCTGCCAATATTTTAACCCTATTTTAGAGATATGGTTAAATTTTGAAAGATTTAAAAATTTTAATTTTTTTACCAAATTTAGGAAACTGTTTTAAAAATCATCTTATATATATTTTTAATCCTTATAAAAAATTATAAAAGAACAAAGTTTCAAAAATATTAGCTCTGGATTAAGGAGGTGGGGGGGGGATGGGTAAGAAGGGCTATAGCCCTGGGACTCACAATGTTAGAGGCCGCAAAATAGTCAAGAGGACCATTCGGTATTTTTTGTTCATCTTTTTGCTGTGGCACTTAAAAAAGCCACCAAAATAATGCAGTGAAAAGTCCAAGAAGGTTAGTTTGTGTTCGAGAATATTCTTTTTTTATTTTTCCGCACAAAGATGTTTGAAAACA